AAAGTCTAGTAATTGTACTAGAACCTACTTGTGTATATTTATTTACAGATACACAATGTGCTTTCAGTGTCTAGTTTTAAGAGCTTCTAAAAAATTAGGTGAGTTTTCTGTATTACCATTTCCAATCATGGCTGATATTTTTTCCTTTGAGATTTCCCATTAGCTGTGTGTTGTAGATGTACTGTGTGTGGTCATTTTTTGTCTAAGTCTCGGTCATGCAATCATCAAACACATTTCCCTTCACCAGTTGACTTGAATCATTTTAGTCACATTTTCCAGCTCGTTTTAAAATAAGACCGATGAGCCTGAGTTTTTTTTTTCTTTTTGGGTCACACCCAGCTATGCACAGGGGTTACTCCTGGCTCTGCACTCAGGAATTACTCCTGGCAGTGCTCAGGGGACCCTATGGGATGCTGGGAATTGAACCCCGGTTGGCCCCCTGCAAGGCAAATGCCCTACCAGTTGTGTGCTAATATTCCAGCCCCCCCCCCCCCAGTTGATTTCTGACATGCTTCTTGCGTGTCTATGTTATTCTGCTCTTTGTTTTCTTATAATTTGCTGTGGGATTTGATTGATAATTTGCTCTAGCTAATTGAAAAATATATACTGTCACTGGTTTTTGTGGTCCCAGGGGTTGAACCCAGGGTCTCTCTATACCACTTGAGTCATTTGCAAATTTTTCTGGGAAATTCATGTTCCTGACCTTTTTTGAGGAGAGTTGACTTGGCCCACAGCCCCGCCTCCTGGTGTTTCCATGTGTCAGGAGGGCACGTGTTGCTTTCTTTATCCTGCACCCCTTCTTAGCCCCTGGTTTCATCTACTTTCTCCTTCCTTATTCACATTTTGATTCCTCAGTAGTCTCTGCCCCCCATCATGCAGGTGACTCCGTCTCAAGGCCGCCTGCACCTCACTGGGGTCTCCTCCTGCTCACCCATTCTCGGCCTGGGCAGCCCCTCCCTGTGCTGGCGCTTGCCCTGTGTCTGTGAGTCTGTCCGCTTCTGCATGAACACCTCCTGGCTCACGGGGGCGTTCTCTGACTCTCGGAGCTGTTGCTTCCCCGTTCTCTTGCTTAGAGACCGAGGTCGTACAGGTCTTGTGGCCCAGGGTGAGTCTTGGGGTCTTTGTGGTTATCTTTTTACTTAGCTTTGTCCCACATTCTGACCTTGGATTTTGCTTTGGAGATCGAGTTGCCTGCAGGACAAGTGCCTTGGCCTCTGTGTCTGGTGTACACTGGGATTGAGGGAGATTACAAACCACCTTCGGTTCCTGTTCACTTTCAGCATGTGAGCAGTAGCAGGGCTTTTCTCCACAGAGGTCATCTGCAGACACCGAGCGTGGGGCTCCTGACTCATGGGCTAGGTGTCATTTGCTGCGCCACGACACTCTGCTGCCTGGGGGTGCTGTCACTCGCCTTTCAATGACTTTTTTCCCCATGGGGGGGGCAGTATTTTGGGTCATGCCTGACAGTACTCGGAGGCTACTCCTGTGTCTGTGTTCAGAGAGTTACTCCGGTGACCATATGTAAAACCCAGGCCACCAACCTGCAGGACAAGTGCCTTGGCCTCTGTGTATCCCTCCAGCCCTTCTCTCAGTGACTTTTATTGTTACCCTTTCTGTGTGACACTGTGGAGATGGCATGGGGCTGATGTGGCATTGTTAGCATTTCCTTTCCTGAGTGTGTCTGACTCGATTTCCTGCATTTGTGGGCCGTTGTACACGTACCCTGCTCCCTCGTGCAGGTCACGGGGTTATTCGGCACACAGACCTCACTTCCCGCCCTGTGAGAGTCCAGCATCGGTGCATCAGTGGACACTGCTGCTGCTTAAACAGGCCACGGGCTAATGGAGAACATCAAGGCCACCAGGGAAGTATATAAGATAGGCTCTCTGTTGGGGCCGGGGAGGGCTAGTTAGCAGAGAGATGGATGCCAAAGCCTAAAGAGGAGCAGGGGCTCCCCACCCAGGCCTCACAGGACTCCAGGTAGAGAGACGCAAAGAATGTTGGAACAGGATCTGGACACTGGGGCAGCCATGTGCAAGAACAACGGGCATTCAGGAACATGGTACTTAAGGGCTAGAGACATAATGCAGCAAGTAGGGCACTTGTCTTGCACACAGCCGACCTAGGTTCAATCTTCAGCACCCCGTATGGTCCCCCGAGCACATCACCAGAAGTGACCCCTGAGCGCAGAACCAGGAACAAGCCCCTTAGCATTGCCAGGTATGGCCCCCAAAAAAGTGTGTGTGTGTGTGTGTGTGTGTGTGTGTGTGTGTGTGTGTGTGTGTGTGAAGAGAGAGATAGTTACTGTTGAAGCTAATAGCCAAAGTAATGACTGAGAATCCATCAGAAATAGTGCTATGAATTAGCTTAATGGGGTTGGGGGGGAGGCGTGGAGAGGTAGCAGAGAGAGGAGGAGAGGTGGAGGGGAGCTGGAGAGAAACTAGGGACACTGTACACTGGTGAAGGGATGGGTGTTGGAACATTCGGTCACGGTCGGTCCTCCTGTTGTTCATCGATTTGCTCGAGCGGGCCCAGTAACATTGTGAGACTTGTTACTGTGTTTGGCATATCGAATATGTCACGGGGAGCTTGCCAGGCTTTGCCGTGCGGGTGAGATACGTCACGGGGAGCTTGCCAGGCTCTCCGAGAGGGACGGAGGAATCGAACTCGGGTCAGTCATATTGGCTGAGTGCAAGGCAAACGCCCTACCGCTGTGCTATCGCTCCAGCCCATTGGAACATTATATGACTGAAACCCAATCCTGAACTACCTTGTAAAATATTGAAAAGAGGACACTCCATCATGTCTTTTTTTTTGTGGGGTGTGGCTTGGGCCACACCTGACTCTGCCTGCACTCAGGAATTACTCAGGCGGGGCGCTGGGACCATATGTGGTGTTGGGTACTAACCCCATGTCTCCGTGTGCAAGAGAGGCACCCTGCCGTTGGAATATTGCTCTAACCTTTACCCCATCATTTTAAAGCAGATGCTCTTTTCCTCAGAATTGAAGTGGAGAATATTGCCTGTGCAAAGAGATGTAGATGGCCCTATGAACTGGCAGATAAAGGACAGAATGGAATTGTGTGTCATACATTCCTGTGATTTTTGTTTATAGGTCACTTCTATTTATAGGTGTCCTATTTATAAATCATTTCTACCCCTATGTTTTAGACAGTTAGTTTCTTCCATATTTTATAAAAAAAAGTAGAAATAAAACTGAGGATGTTTTTGAGTGTTTGAGTTTTAGAATTACTTAAAACATTTTATAGGTCAATCTTTTTTTTTTTTTAAATTTTTATTAGTGAAACACCATGAGGTACAGTTGTAGTCTTACAAATTTTTGTGCTTGGGTTTCAGTTATTCAGTGATCGAGTACCCATCCCAGGTCAATCTTTTTTAAAAATTGAGGCCACACCCAGCAATGCTCAGGGCTTAGCCCTGGCTTTGCTCTCGGGGATCAGGTCTGACAAGGCTCAGGGGAAGGAATGGGGAGCTGGGGACTAAACCTGCCGTACCTGCCATACTTGCTCCCTAGCCCTATAGACTAATTTTTTAAGGGATTTTAAAAATTTTCATTGACTCTAAGCAACAAGACCTCGTGTGGAATCACATCAACTTATATATTTTTTTTACTGTGAAAGTATTAACGCAGTAAATAAAGTGATTTAACCATATAAAATTGCTTATCTTACTATCTACAAAAGTAACCTATTTGTATATTCAAGAGTGAGGATCTAAATTTGGAGAGTGTGCTTTATTTTTGAAAACCAGGTTGGTGTGTGATATACCCTTCAAGCCCTGAATGTCAGAAAATTTGACTTGATTTCAGAGCCTGGTGCCCAAAGTTTCCCACAAAAGATTTCCTGCATTTGCTGACCATTACTGATAAGAATTCGGGGTTTAAGCTTTTTGTTTATCTGAGGAAATTCCTGTTAGGTGTGTGCACATTCCCCTTTGTTTTCAGTATTAGCCTTGGTGGGTCGGCTATAGAATGTGACACAACACTCTATTCTTCTAACAAAATCCTTTTGCAGATGGGGGCCCTTTTCCTGCATGTAATTAAGATGGGCATGAATCAGAGCCTGCTGACCACAACTCACTGGCTGAAAGATTTTTCAATTAATGATACACTTCATTAATATTTTCTTAAAATAGCATTTTTGCACATCAGTTAGCCATCAGTTCATCTGCACTGAAAAGGTATCTTTCTAGTAACTTTGAAGTGTGTTTTTAATAAGTACGTCCATGTTTGAGATTCTTCAAGTAGACCTTCACTGTTGCATATAAAACTTCTGATGGGTTTTATATAGGTGCAGTTTAGTGGCGTTTGAGAGTTTTCCTCTTGTGGCATCCACTGTAGCCAAAGATATCAGTGTACTGGTTTAGTGTCAGGCTGAGGTTTAACAGTGAGAATCACACCTGACATTAAAGCCATGATTTTGTCCCTAAAGAAGCACAGCCTAAAACTGTGGCCTTTGCCATATTGAACCAGGAAAGCTTTGCATGTGTTTGAGTCTTGACAGGAAAAGGTTTTGGGTAAAACTTGTCACATAGCTAGTTTTGATACAAATGTTAATTATCATATAGTTTTATATTATAGATTTATTTTATTGACTTAGCATCTGGATAATCAAAACATTATTAAAGCATTTTTATGAAGGAATATTTGACATATGATAAAAGGTTTTTGGATAACTGCAATGGTAAATTTTCTTATTTTGTGAATTTGTAACTGTAAATCTTTTCTTAACTCTTTCTTGCTTTATCTCTTGCTTTATTGATATGACTTGCTGAAAAAAATAGAACAGTTTTACAAGGACAGTTTGTTTTGGGAAAAAATCTGGGCTCTTAAAACTTGTTGAAGTAGATGAACTTATTCCTTGAATTTTATCTTGACATTTATAAGAAAAAATTTTAACTGTGTCATAAGAAAGAAAGTACTTTGTTGCCTTAAAGCTTTTGATTCTATCAACTTCACCAAAAACTCATTTTCTGTTTCAGGCCTTTGAAGATCTCAGCAAGTTAATGGTCAAGGTAAACGTCATACTTATAAAATTCAAACCAATTGTGATAGATTTAAAACTGTATTTGTTAGCAGATACTTTGGTGACATTCTCTTTTATATTTCATTATCTTCTTGACAGGCTAAGGAAATGGTGGAGTTATCAAAATCAATTGCTAATAAGATTAAAGACAAACAAGGTGACATCACAGAAGATGAGGTAAATAGGTTGCTTCTTATTTTTAAATTAAATAGTTGATTTTGCAGCACTGAACCATATCCCCAGCCCCAGTAGGTTGGTTTTTTTTTTAAGTATTTACAAACAGATAGCATGACTTACAGATAACGTGATGATGTTTTGGTAGTTAATCATTGTGCTTTCTTGGTGTGGTTATTTAATTTCTTTTAGGACTTAAAGATACATCAAAGTGGTTAAAAAAAAAGTCTACCGTAAACACTTTGTTATTTCCAGCAGGACTAAAGAATACTTCAGTACTGTTTCTCAGAGTGTAGAAATGGATTAAAATGCATATGGAGTGGCTGTTTTGTTCATACTCCTAAGTTTGATATGTGTCTAACAAGACTCATCGACATCCTGGTCACAGTCATTTTCCTTTCTGAGCTTCCTGTCCTGTCATTTGTTGACATTAGACATGGTATCATAGTTATCTAAGTCTCTTCTCATACCAAACCAGTGGGGTAAATGGAGTATGAGATCATCAAGATAGGAGGAGGAATAGTAGTAATGAGACTTCGCCCGCAGGGAGCTCCCGGAAGCCTGCTGCTAGGTCACAGTAGAGAGACACACAGGAGGAGGAAGTGGGCAGATAGAGGAATAATTGAGTAGAATTGAATTTATGAATGAAGGACTGGAAATGTTGGCGTGGAATGACTGAGTCTGCAAAGTTTCTTCTCATGTCTTTTCTCTTTTCACTGTAGACTATCAGGTTCAAATCCTATTTGCTGAGCATGGGCATAGCGAACCCAGTGACCAGGGAGACCTACGGCTCGGGCACACAGTACCACATGCAGCTGGCCAGGCAGCTGGTTGGCATCCTGCAGGCGCCTTTGGAGGTAAGACGTGAAACCCGAGCAGGTCTGGTTTAAACTCCTGTTTTTAAAAGTATGTGGTCTTTGTATTTAAATGCATTGTCATACAGTTAGTTTTGATACGAATGTTAATTTCCCTATAGTTTTATAATATCGATTTATTGTAGTATCTTAACATTTGGATAATCAAAATATTATTGAAGCACTTTTGTGAAGGAATAGTTGACATATGACAAAACATATCACCAGTACCTAATTGTCATTCAGTTTCTTTTCTTTCTATCAATTTCACTTGAAAACCAGCCCCCCTAAAAATTATTTTAAGACCAATTTCAGAAGTCACTTTACATGTTAATATTTTAGTAAGTAACTTTGATAATGATACCTTTATTCATATTCCCATTTCACTCTAAAACATTTAAAATCAGTTTTAAAATATGAAATGATGTTCACATTTTCTCTCCTTTTGGGGGAGGTCACACTCAAAGGGATTGGGTCGGAGGTGCTCCCAGCTGGGTTAGGGGAGGAGGGTTGGTGCTCAGCTCCTGTGGTGTCAGGGATTGAACCCTGGGCTCCAGCATGCAAAGGATGTGCTCCAGCCCTTTGGGTTGTCTCCCTGGTCCTCCTATTGTTCTCTTAGAGTTGGTTGCTTCAAGTCAACAGACATTACAATGAATTTGTCTATGAAGTTTTGTTGCATTTTTTTTTTAAATTCCATTGGTTTCCCTTCTAGCTGTTTTCCTTCTCCCACTTAGAGTTTAGAGTGTCACCAGAGTTCGTATTGTATGAACTAGAATGGTAACATGCCTTCCTGTAATCTGGTAGCTGCATCTGGAAAGTCTTCCTGTCCCTGACCGAACCTTTCATGGAGGGCGCTCTACATGTCCTTCCAGAGCTCAGCGCCAGCTGTTCAGCTCTGTCTGTGTGTGTGTGTGTGTGTGTGTGTGTGTGTGTGTGTGTGGTGTTAGCAGTAGTTGTCAGTCAGCATCTAGATTGTTGTTTCATTTCAGGTTGTAAAGGGTGATGACCTTATTTGATGCTGTCACTATTTTTTTTTTAACATGGGAAACCTGAACATTACGTTACTCATTTTGAAATGCTGTATTGACCCCCTGTTTTCATTTAGATGAATGTTAAGAGAGAAATAATCAGTTCTAAAACTGGATTTTATAGGTTCTCTCATCTGTATCAGAATCCCATTTTCAAGAGGATATGTAGAGATTTTATGAGTTGTCATTTCACTCTGCTGCTGATTTCATTTCATTGCCAACTGGTGCTAATGGTAACAGTACTTGGTTTTGTTTTCTATTTTAACAGGAGCGAGGGGGCATAATGTCACTCACCGAGGTGTACTGCTTAGTCAACCGCGCCCGAGGAATGGAAGTAAGATTTAGTAGTTCGGTGATAGTTTAAGCAACTGTAATCTCTTAATACAGTAAAGTTCTGTGGGCCGGAGAGAGACAACAGTGGGTCGGGTACTTATCTGCACAATGCCAACCTGGGTTTGATTCCCAGCACCCCATATGGTCCCCTGAGTACCGCCTGGAGTGATTTCTAAGTGCAGAGCCAGGAGTAAGCCCTGAGTACACTCAGGCCTCCAAACAAATAAAATATAGTCAAGTTTCCTATACTGTAACCAAGACTGCCCTGGGAAGGGGGTTGGGGCCAGAAGAGCTGGGGAGAGCAGAGGACAGTGAGGGCCACTGGCCTGGCAGTGTTCTGATGGCAACCTCTCTAGGACTAATCCTTTTTTTTTTTCTTTTTTGGGTCAGTCCAGCAGTGCTCAGGGTTACTCCTGGCTCTGCACCCAGGAATTATTCCTAGCAGTGTGCTGGGGACGATATGGGATGGCAGGGATTGAACTCAGATCAGCCAGCTGTGTGCAAGGCAAACGGCTGTGCTATCACTATAGCCCCCTGCACTGTTGCTATGACCCCACTGATCCTGTTCTTAAAAAAAAAAAAATTTTTTTTTTCTTTTTGGGCTTTTTGGGTCACACCCATCAATGCACAGGGGTTACTTCTGGCTCATGCACTTAGGAATTACTCCTGGAGTTGCTCAGGGGACCATATGGGATGCCAGGAATCAAACCTGGGTCAACCGCATACAAGGCAAACGCCCTACCCACTGTGCTATTGCTCCAGCCCCATCACTTCACTGTCACTGTCCTCCCATTGTTCATCGATTTGCTCGAGCGGGCCCAGTAACATTGTGAGACTTGTTACTGTGTTTGGCATATCGAATACATCATGGGTAGCTTGCCAGGCTTTGCCGTGCGGGCGAGATACTCTCGGTAGCTTGCTGGACTCTCCGAGAGAGGTGGAGGTCCAGCCCCATAAAAAAGAAAAAAAAAAATTTTTTTTAATCAAATCAAACAAACTGTCCAAACACTGTCCTCCCGTTGTTCATCGATTTTGCTCAAGCGGGCCCAATAACGTCTCCATCGTGAGACTTGTTGTTACTGTGTTTGGCATATTGAATACATCACGGGCAGGCGAGATACTCTTGGTAGCTTGCCAGGCTCTCCGAGAGGGGCAGAGGAATCGAACCCGGCTCGGTCCAGGCTGGCTGTGCACAAGGCAAACGCCCTACGGCTGTGCTATGGCTCCAGCCTATCAAAACTTTAAAATGTGGGCGTGGACTTAGTGAACCCTTTTAGTTTGTTTCAGGGCCTCCCTAGCAGTGCCCAGGGCCCCCATCAGCCCTTCTTTGACCAACAAACAGTGACCAACAGAACAGCGGTTCTGCTTGGGAGCAGGTGTCGCTGGGGGCAGATGGTACCTTTTTGTGCATGGTGCTGGTAAGGTGGTGCCACGTGTGACTGGGCTGACCTCCTCTTGCTCCCACGGGCTCCAGAGAAGCGCTGCCCTGCCCTTCTGGCCCCCTGCACCCCACTGTCATGGGCCTCTGTCCCCTGAGCCTGCGGGCGCCTAGATCCTGTGCCCTCAGTAGTCAGATGCGGTTCTAAGGTGTGAGCAGTCTCCTCTGTGTGGGTGACTCACGTGGTCTCGGCAACCATCCCCACCCCCGCAGGCTCGGGGTGAAGCGCTGCTGTTTGTACTCAGATCCTGCTGACAGGAGCCAGGACTCGCTCTCAGCCAGGCCACCCTCTTTCCCCTCTCGGGATCACTAGTCCATCCCAGAGTTACCTGGGGGTGAGGAAACTGAGGCTTGCTGCGATTAAGCGCAATGACGAGGCGACACTCTGCAGGCAGGGGGATTTGACAGGGCTCAGCACCCGCAACCGCCCTGCTTGGAGCTCTGCTGTGTGAGTCACAGCCCGGTAAATCGCTCCTAAACCAGGAAGGCTCTTTTTGGATCATGGCCTAAGGGTCGCCGCCAGCCACCCCAGTACACCCGTGCCTCTGATGTGCCACTGCGCCATACTGAGAGGTCTGCAAACAGAAGTGACACCCAGACCAAGAAGATCTTTTACCAAGTAAAGGAATGTTATCAATATCAGTAAGAATTCTTTTTATATGGGACCACAGGGCTAGTATTGGGTAGGACATTTGTCTTGCACACAGCCAGCTGGGGTTCAGTCCCTGGCATCCCATATGGTCCAGGGAGCACCACCAGGAGTGATCCCGCAGCACAGAGCCTGAAGTAAGTCCTAAGCACCACCAAAAGGGGGGTGGACGGCAGGAGATTCTTTTTGGTGTTGATTATGTATTTTTTATTTATTAAGTCATAAAAAGTTTATGTTAAAGTTGGCTTTGAAAATGTTGCTACTAGAAAATGATTGCATCTATGACGAATTATGATATGTCTCTATGGGATAGGCTGGCTCGGTGAATAAAGCTTTTGCTTCTCTGTTAATCCTTTTTGCCTTAATGATTAAGCTACTTCAAATCCTTGATGACTGATAACCTGTAAATGTTCTCATCTGTTGTAGTGAGCCTTATAATATGGCATCACTCTGTTAACTTGCAGTGTAACTGAATTCCCTTTTCCCCCCATTAGCTGCTCTCACCTGAAGACTTAGTGAATGCGTGCAAGATGCTGGACGCACTGAAGCTGCCCCTCAGGTAAAAGAGCCTCTGCTGGGCATTTGCCAACTGTCAGCATGTCGGGAAAGAGCAGCTGGGAGAGCCCTGCCAGGTCTGCCAGCCCGCGTGCAACACCGCCCTCTTGGAGAGCCTTTGTCAGGAACAGAACCGCGTGGACCCTGCTCCTTTCATCCTGGCTTCCTGCTGAGAGCCAGTAGACCGCTCTCGTCGAGCTGGGGCAGGAGATGGGAGTGTAGGCTCCCTCACGAGGGCAGAATAACCAGCCCCTCATCCTGTAAACATCTTGTGAGACTCAGCACCTGCAAATGTTCAGCCATGAATCTCACATTCCCCGGGTTTAAAGTATAAAGTTTAAAACAAAAGCCAGACATGTGTTACTTGGCATGTTGGGCTAGAGTTCGTTTATGAACTGTCTTCAAATGATTTTTTTTTTGCAAGTCACAAACTTATTGGAAACAAATGACACTCAGTGCAAACTTCTTAGTGGCCAAGTGTGTGTGTGTCGGGGGGGGCGGGGGGGACCAGGTATAGGTGGGCGTCCAGGACTGGCTAGGCTCCGTTGAGTGACCAGTGGGATCCTGCTTGCTGGGTCTTCGCCCTTGGGACTGGCATATGCAGGCCCAGGCACAGCCGAGTACAAAGTACAAAAATAAACTGTACGGTCCTGCAACCCTGCCTGGTCAGTTTGTTGGGGCAGGGCAGAGGCTCTGCTCAGCAGGCCTAGTGTTGTCCTGTCCAGCCGCCATGTGGACACCTAGAGATCAAATGATTTTTCAAGTAATGCTATGTTTCCTTGCGGTCCTTCGGTTTGAACTATTCTGTCTCTCTCTTGCCCTTGTCCTTGGACATAAAAGAAGGTAAAAATAATATCTGCACCTCCTGCCGCAGCTGAGATCCTGGATGTTCATGGCTGTGTTCTCCCGTCTGGTTTTTAGGCTGCGGGTTTTCGATAGTGGCGTCATGGTAATTGAGCTTCAGTCCCACAAGGAAGAGGAAATGGTGGCCTCAGCCTTGGAGACGGTACGTGAGCCTGGCTTCCTCCCACTAGTAGGGTTTTCTGTGAAGACCCGAATGCTTAGCAACTTGAGAAACAGGATTTCCTTTTGAATTTCACTTGGCGAAGAAGAAGTAATGCTCAGACCTAAGTTAAAACCATTCGCTATTAGCAAAAAATGATAGTTATGCTTTGGAAGCTTTTTGCAAGGTAGTGACACCACTCATAATAACATTTATCAGAGGAAATAGAATTAGGAAAGTGCTTGATTTTGTGTGTGTGTATGTGTGTGACTACTAATGTCAAGAACAGATTTTTAACATTGTTGATCAGAAGGTTGCCCATCATTGAACTTCTTTCAGAAACTCTTTGGCAGCATTATAAACATTACCAGTTGTTTTATGCAGTAGTTTGCTTCGAAAATATATAAAGCAGGGCCGGAACAATGTACAGCGTATAGGGTAGTTGGTTTGTATGAGACTGACCCAAGTTTGATTCTCGGTATCCCATATGATCCCCCAGGCACCATCAAGAGTGATTCCTGAGTGCAGAGCCAGGAGTAGCCCCTGAACGTTGCTAGATGTGGCCCCAAATGAACAAGCAAAAGTATGCAAAGCAGCAGTAGTTTGAAGCAGTGATTTTCAGCCTTTATTACAGTAACACACAGACTCTACTGATCCATGATTCAGTGGTTGAACCACTGTTGTAGACAGATTTTATTGACCAAAGTGCTGATATTACTCATTAGTATACTTGAAGCATTAGTGCCCTTAGTGATGAAGCCTATATAATTTGAGTAACTCACATAAATTAAATTCATTATTTTAAATTATATGAAAACCTCTAATACCAGAGATATCTCTCATATATTTTTTAATTTATTTTACTATCTTTTTTTGTTTTTTTTTTTTTTTTTTGCGTTTTGGGTCACACCTGCCGATGCACAGGGGTTACTCCTGGCTCTGCACCCAGGAGTTACTCCTGGTGCTGCTCAGGGGACCATATGGGATGCTGGGAATCGAACCCGGGTTGGCTGTGTGCAAGGCAAATGCCCTACCCGCTGTGCTATCGCTCCAGCCCTAATTTATTTATTTTAAACAAGTTTTATTGGATTACTGTAAGATACTTACAAACTTGTATGGTTGCGTTTCCTTTGAACAATGCTCGCGCACCCATCTCTCCACCAGTGCCCATTTTCTACCACCAGTGTTCCCACTGTCCCTCCCACCACCCCCACCCTACTCTGCTCCCTACCTCTAAGGCAGGTACAATCCTTTTATTTCTTGAAATAGTGTTTTGTAGTTTTCTTTGTATAGGTCCTTTACCTCTTTAGTTAAACTGATTCCAAGATACTTAATTTTCTGGGGCACTACTGTGAACAGGATTGTTTTTTAAATAATCTCTTCTTTTTCATTATTTGTGTATAGGAAGGCCATGGATTTTTGGGTATTTTGTCACCTGCCACTCTACTATAACAATCCTATTATTTCTAGGAACTTTTCTGCAGAGCCTTTAGGGTTTTCTAAGTATAGTATCATGTCTTCTGCAAATAGTGATAGCTTGACTTCTTCCTTTCCTATATGGATGCCTTTGATATCCTTTTCTTGCCTAAGTGCTACGGCAAGTACTGCCAGCACCATATTGAATAGAAGTGGTGAGGTTAGGCAACCTTGTCTTGTACCTGATCTTAGAGGGAAGGTTCTCAGCTTTTCCCCATTGAGAATAATGCTGGCTGTGGACTTATATTGAGGAAAGTTCCTTTGACTCCCATTTTGCTGAGAGTTTTTATCATAAATGGGTGCTGGATCTTGTCAAATGCCTTCTCTGCATCTATTGATATGATCATATGGTTTTTATCTTTCCTTTTATTGATATGGTGTATTATGTTGATTGATTTGCGAATTTTAAACCATCCTTGCATATCCAGGATGAATCCTGCTTGGTCATGGTGTATGATCTTTTTTGATGAGTCATTGGGTTCTATGTGCTGGTATTTTGTTGAGGATCTTTGCATCTGTATTCATCAGGGATATTGGTCCGTAATTCTCTTTTTTCTGCTTTTGATATGAGGCTGATATTTGCCTCATAGAAACTGTTTGGAAGTGTTTCTGTTTTTTCAATTTCTTAGAAAAGCTTGAACAGGATTGGGAGTAGGTCCTCTTTGAAGGTTTGGAAGAATTCCCTAGTGAATCCATCTGGGCCAGGGCATTTTGTTTTTTGGGAGACTTTTGGTAACTAGTTTAATTTCCTTGATAGAGATAGGTCTGTTCAGGTATTCCAAGTCTTCTTGGGTCAGCTTTGGGAGATTATAGGAGTCCAGGAATTTATCCATGTCTAGTTGTCTAGTTGCGTAGCATAAAGCTTTTCAAAGTAATCACTGATTCTCCTTTGAATTTCTGTGGGTTCTGTTGTGATGTCTCCGTTTTCATTTGTTTCTGTTTATTAGGGGTCTCTATTTCTTGTTCCTCTGAGTCTTGCTTGTGGTTTATCAATCTCGTTTATTTTCTCAAAGAACCAGTTCTTGACTTCACTGATCTTTTGGATTTTTTTTTTTTTTGAGTTTCCGTGTGATTAATTTCTTCTCTAAGTTTTATTATTTCTTTCTGGTTTGGGCTCCTTTTATTGGTCATTCTTCAAGATCTTAAACTGTGAGTTTAGATTATTTATGTGGGCCCAAATCTTCCTTCCTGAGGAATACTTATAGAGCTATGAACTTTCCTCTTAACACTGCTTTTGCTGTATCCCATAAGTTCTGGTAGTTAATGTCTTCATTCTCATTCATTTCCAAGAATTTTTTGATTTCCTCTTTGATTTCCTTTCTAAGCTACTTGTTATTGATTTGGAGGTGTTTAATTTCCAGGTGTTTGGTTTGAATTTCTGTTTCTGGGTGTGATTTACTTCGATTTTCAGTGCATCATGATCTGAAAAGATTGTTGATACAATTTCTATCCTCTTAATTTTACAGAGGTATGTTTTATGGCCCAGTATGTGGTCTGTTTTGGAGAATGTCCCATGTGCACTTGAGAAGAATGCGTATTCAGCTTTTGGGGGGTGAGATGCCCTATATATGTCTACTAGACCCCTATCTTCCATTTCTTCCTTCAGATACAGTATATCCTTGCTGGGCTTGAGACTTGTTGATCTGTTGAGAAGTGATAAATCAGTGTTGATGTCTCCAACTATTATTGTGTTGTTTTCAGTGTCTTTCTTCAAGTCTATGAGGAGTCGTTTTAAGTATTTTGTTGGTTTCTTATTAGGTGCATATACGTTTAGGAGAGTGAGTTCTCCGACTGTACAGATCCTTTGGTCATTAAGAAATGACCTTCATTGTCTCTTGTAACCGTCTTCAATCTGAAGGCTATGTGGTCTAATATTAGTATGGCCACTCCCACTTTTTTTTGAGGGAGCTGTTTGCTTGTAGGATTGTTTTCCATCCTTTCATTTTGAGTCTGTGTTTGCTCTACCTGTTCAGATGTGTTTCTTGCAGGCAGCAGAATGCTGGGTTCAGTTTTCGGATCCATCCTGCTTCTCTGTATCTTTTAATTGGTGCATTTAGTCCATTGACATTGAGAGAGATTATTGATATAGGGGTTTGTCCCATCTTTCTGCCAAAGTTTGGAGTATTTGAGGGGCTTGTCTTCTCTTAAGGTAGCCCGTTTAGTTGCTCATAGCCATGGTTTTTGAGGCTATGAAGTTCCTGAGTTGTTGTTTGTCTGTGAAGCTATGTGTTGTTCCTTCTGATATGAATGAAAGTCTAGCTAGGTAAAGTATTCTACGTGAGGCATTTATTTCACTGAGTTTGTTCACTATATCCTACCACCGTCTTCAGGCCCTTAGCATTTTATTGGGTAGGTCTGCTGTGAATCTTAAGGATGCCCCTTATAAGAAATTTCTTTTTTTGATCTTGCTGTTTTCAGAATTTTATTTCTGTCTGTAGTTTTCATCATTCTGATCAGGATGTGTCTTGGAGTATTTTTATTTGGATTTCTTTTAGCTGGAGCCCTTTTGGCCTCCTGGATCTGATCGCACGTGGTCTTCAGCTCTGAATGTCTTAGCAATGATGTCTTTGACAGTTTCTTCTTCATCAGGGTTTTCTTCCTGTTTCTTCGGGACTCCAGTGATTCTTGTGTTATTCCTCTTGGCTTCATCCTGATTTTCTCTTGGCATCTGTTGATTTATTTTGAGGTTCTTGTCCATTTTCTGCTGTTGTTTGGAGACTCTCTGCACCTCATCTTGGAGCTCACTGATTCTATCCTCAGCAGCTGTTACTCTGGTGCTGAGGCCTTCCACTGAGTTTTTCATTTCACATACCAATTTTTTTAGGTCTGTCATTTCTGCTTACATTTTTGTTTGCATTTTCCTCACCTCCACTTTCATATCCTCTTGTATTTTATCAGCAGTGTGTTCCATTGCTTCTTTGAGCTCCTTATACATCCTTCAAAGTTCTATTTGAAATTCCTTATCTGAGAAGTTATAGAGTTCATTGCTACTGTTTGATTCATCTGGCCTAGCAACTTCAATCATTAGGCTTGGTAAGGATCTGCATTGTTTTACCATAGTGAGCTTTGTGTTTTGGAGTTTTATCTAATGTTGTTGTATATTATGGCCCCTACAATCGGGCTATCTTTGTGAGTGGCCATGGCTTATTGATAGGTATGTATGAGGCCTGGGATAACTAGTGCCTCAAATGTGGGGTGCAGAGAAAATAAGTTCTTCGCGCGGACAGGTGAGCATTCGTGCGGTTTTGTGGTTAGGGGTTTAGAAGGTGTTCGGGATGAGTAAATGAGGGGGAAATGATAGGGGTCCACACACCTGGGAGAGGAAGGTGGCGGTGCGGCTCTGGAGGGGTGGTGCTGGGGGCAGGATGTACGTCCGCAGGATGCTGGGAGGAGTTCAGGTCCGGGTGCCCAGCTTCTCCCACATATTTTAAACAATACATACACATACAACACACACATAGAGTTCCTGCGTGGGAACTCTATGTTCCAAATGGAACATAGAGTTTCTTAATTCCATTTAAGAAATTAGTATTTTGGGACTGGGGTACATTGGGTCAGGCACTTACCTTGCACACAGCTGATATCACTGGTACCTCTTAGGGTCGCCCAAGTCCCGTCAAGAGTGATTCCTGCGCACTGCCAGATGTGGCCTAAAACAAACAATGGAACCAAATTATTGTTTTTATGTTGAAGTCATCAGCCTTTGTAAAATTACACGTTAGTAAAGAGGATTTAGTCCTGTAGTAAAAATTCTTTGTGTTGTAGTAGAAGACATTTTCAAGTAATGCTATGGTTCCTTGTGGTCCTTATGTTTGAAATGTTCTGTATCTCTCTTGCCCTTGTCCTTGGCATAAAAGAAAGTAGAAATAATATGTGTACCTCCTCCCGTAGCTGGAGATCCTGGGCATTCACGACTGTGTTCTCCCAGTCTTTGATTTTTAGGCTCCAAGTGTTTGACAGATATTCAGATATTTCTTGAATATCTGGGTTCTCCCTAGATTTATACATAGGTGTTATATTTATATAGCAATAGCACAGCGGTAGGGTGTTTGCCTTGCATGCAGCTGGCCCGCCGAGCCGGGTTCGATTCCTCCACCCCTCTCGGAGAGCCCAGCAAGCTACCGAGAGTATCTCGCCCACACAGCAAAGCCTGGCAAGCTACCTGTGATGTATTCAATATGCCAAACACAGTAACAACAAGTCTCATGATGGAGACGTTACTGGGCCAGTCGAGCAAATTGATGAACAACGGGAGGACAGAGCAGTGCTACAGTTATATTTATATTTTCTTCTGCTATATGCTTGTTAGGTTTCAGAAAAAGGATCACTAACCTCAGAAGAGTTTGCTAAGCTTGTAGGAATGTCTGTCCTCCTTGCTAAAGAAAGGTAAGTATGGCCCTTGCTCTTTTGTTTCATTTATATTTATGTTTCTGGATGGACATATGATTGTGGCTTTCCCTCTCAATCCCCAGGTTACTTCTTGCAGAGAAGATGGGCCATCTTTGCCGAGATGATTCTGTGGAAGGCTTGCGGTTTTATCCAAATTTATTTATGACACAGAGTTAATGGTTTTGTATTTGAAATATTTCTTGCCCATCTACTTGTATCATGTAGAAGTTAGATGACATTGAGCTAAGAGTAAACCCTGATGAACTGAGAATTTAATGGAACATTGCACCATTGCACTATAAAACTTTTCATTTCCCCCTAAATAGGAAGCTTATTAGGGACAAATATAGGAAATTACAGAAAAGTGAATGCCTATGTGAATTTTAAATCACACTAGAGTTGAATAAGATCTTTAGGAGGTCAGCTTGAAATATGGATTTTAAGTTAACCCCGAAATCTGACCGTTTTGTACAGAAGGGGGGTAAGGAGAAAAAAATGCATGCTTTGACAGATTCAATCCTGATTTTGGTGTGACTAAGATTCATTGAATTATAAAACTGTCTTCTGCATGTAATGTTTCCATTTCAGAGGGTTTTCGTAAAGCAAGCAGTACCTGGAGTAGTAGTTTAAGAACATTGAAACAGAACATGGAACCTCTGTGCCTGGAGGTGCCTCCTGCAGGCCTGTGCGGTTAGTCATCGGCATGTCTACAACAGACCAAATAAAGCACCTTAAAAAAAGTGTCTTAAAAAAAGGAAACATTTTTGACTCGTATATATATATATATATACAGTCTCATGTCTTTGTAGTGATGTTTTGTGGCTGGTGTTTAAAGAATGCAGCTATGTCATTTTGTTTTTTAAAAATGCTTTGGATTTGGGGAATTAATTAAAGAGCTGTATAGACATGCCCAGAAATGGGAATGCAGATTGGAAGGTAGGAATTCCCAACGATTGTTGTGTGGGTGGAAGGTTCAGGAGAATCTCCTGCTGACTTAACAAGATTCTTGGTGCTCTTTTTATCTTAAAGCCACAGATGGAAAAGTAGAAAGTGGAAATCCTTTTCTTCCTCTTAAGGAGTATCAAAATTAAACATTTTTTAAAAAGTAATTCTTTATGTCGTATTTCAGCAATACTTTTCCCCTTTGCCCCACATATTAAGAAGCTGTGTGGAGGAATTGTCTTATTGAAAAGTTTTGCTGAGGTAACAAAACCTGGCTGATAACGAATTTAGATCGTTTGCAGGAAAGTGGATAGATAGACTGATTTTATCTATTACCGTGATACTGTGTGCAATATGTTGCCATTACCTCAAACTTGGGTACCTCGTAGAGAAGGGAGATTCTTTTCCTGAGGTTGAGTTAGAAGACGGTAGTGATGGTTTGGGGCCCAGCATCCAAGAGATAGAATCTGTGTTGAAAGGACCGTTGGCCCCAGCAAGAGGGGATGCCCAGACTCCTGTGTGGATCATTCTGGCACTCCCACGGAGCTAGGTGGCAAGGGCTACACTACAGACATCCCTTTGGGCAAGTGGCAGGTATCCTCTGTTACAGACCCAGGGATGCAGCAAGAGCCAGTCCTTGATCTCTGTCAGCTCAGGGGAAAGTGACTGTCAGCAGATCCTCCTCCTGGGTCATGGGGATGCTGTGGATGAAGCATTTTGCTTTAGTCTTTCTATTCGAACCTGTCACTGATTCAGTATCATGGTAACACACCCCTCGTCCCCCCAGTGTTCAGCCTCAGGTTTATTTGGGTGCAAGTTCCATTTCTGACTGATCAGGTCTTCCAGGCCATTGTGTAAACGTGCCTGTGTCACAATTCTCTCCAGGTTCTGCTCACTTGCTCCTAAGTTTGCTCTGGCCAATGTGTGCTGCGCGCACGTGCGCGCGCGCACGTGCGCGCACACACACACACACACACACACATACACACAGTCTCTTGTGACTGAGTTTTTAAAAAATTACAGAGAAAAATTATAAACTTTTTCTTTTTCCATTTTTATCTAGTTGCAACTAAGATTGCTTGAATACTGTACCTAGATTTCATGGCTGAGATCATTACAGAAAACCTCCACATACTTTAGCATTCATTCATAGTAGTGTGGTAATAGATTAGCAAAAAATAGTGCACTCTCAGTGGTAGAATATGGAATGAAGAGTCTCTTCTAGCTGGTTTCCCGCTGGCCTCTTGAATCCGGGTGCATGTGCTCTTCAGCTCTGAGAACTTCTCAGCCATGATTTGACTTTTACTTCTACAGAGCCACCTCCTGATCGTCTGGGATCCTGGTGTTTCTTATGTTGTTCTTCTTGCATTCATCCTAAAGTTCTCTCATCTGCTGTTCATTTGTTTTTCAGCATTTTTCCCATCTTCAGCTGTTGTCTTGAGGTTTGTTGCATCTAGTCTTGGAGCTCACTGATTTTGTCAGCTGCTGTTACTCTGTTGCTGGGGCCTTCCAGTATCTTTTTCATTTCAACTACCAAAGTCTTGAGTTCTGTCATTTCTCCTTGTAGTTTTCTCATTTTTGCTGTCATTTTGTGTATAATTGGCTGTCTGTACCATTGTTCTTGAGTTCATTAAACATACTCAACCTTTCCTCTCTTCAATTCCTTATCCAAGAGGTCTAAGAGCTGGTAAGTAGGTTGTGTTGTTTTGGGGTTGGGTTTGTTTTTGTTTTTGTTTTTTGTTTTGTTTTTGGTGTTTTTGTCTTTTTGGGTCACAGTCAGTGATGCTCAGTGGTTAGTCCTGGCTCTGCACTCAGGAATTACTCCTGGTGGTGCTCAGGGGACCATACGGGATGCTGGGGATCAAATCCAGATTGGCCCTGTGCAAGGCAAGCACCCTACCCACCGTACTGTCACTCTGGCCCTGAGCTGATAAGGGTTGGTTGAGTCTTAAGGGCTCCACTCTTCCCTCACTAGGTGTTGTGGGAGTCTGAGCTGCTTTTTTATTGCACTGTTACAGGCCTTAAGTTTACTCTCAGACTACAGCTGTGCTTGCTGTGTATTATGGAGGGGAAATACCACATACTGACTCTGGGAGACCTGAATGGTGGTTCTCTTATTTTGGGAGGCAGATTGCCTCTGCTGGCTGCCTAGTGCATTGGGTCACTCACCTGGGAGCTAGCAGGGTTGCATCTTGTCTTGTTATGCTCCAGGTAGGCAGGCATGCGCGTGCACACACATGCATACACATGCGCGCGCGCACACACACACACACACACACACACACACACTCATACCCACACCCTCTTCCTGGCTCTTCTCTTTGCATCAGATTTACTTCTTGTCTTTTAGAAACAGGATTCTGGAAGTCATGAAAGGACTGGAATGGCTTCTTTCTGAGCATTAGAGTCGCATGTTCACATCTCCCGCATGTTTATTCCCGTTTGGTTTCCTCTGATCCTCTTTCCAGTGCAGAAGCTCCTTTTTTTGTCTGACAGTAAGCATCAGTAAACTCCACATGGACACAGGAGCAAGTGAAAATCAGTCAGGAGGATGGTTCCCCTCTAGAATGAATGGGGGGGGGGGGGGGGGGGAGTGACATGACTATGTTCTGCAAATGTCACATTTAAAAAAATAGATAATACCAATTTTATTTTTAATGGGCATTTTGGCTTTTTTCAGACCTCTTCATATGCATATTTTTATCCTTTTTTTTTTTGGTCAAATAATGTTTTGGTTCTCTTTGAATAAAGGTTATATACATTTAAATATATAGAACCAATCAGGCCCTGCGTGCAAAAACATCCTCTCTTGGTGCTTTTCACTAGTATTATTTTTATTTTCCCTAACTTTGTTCTTAGCATAAATCTGTAACTTTGGGATAATGGGATATTTCTAACCACATACCGTCAAAATTGATTTACATTGTGTAAATGACGATTGTTTTCTGGGATAAATGTGTATAGGGTAAAATTATTACAAAATTAAAACATGTTTTTACACAAGTTGTTCTTTTAAAAGACTGTTGAAAGCTGTGTGGAAATGATAAACCTCAGTATAAGACAATTCACTCATTTTCTCTTTTAGATTTTATAATCTAGAGTTGGTTATAATTTTTATGACTGCAAACTTTCAGTACTGTAGTTCTTTTGCTGTGTTTGGTTTGTGTCTAGTTCCAGATGTGAGTTCCAGTGTTGATTTACCAGCTGTGTTCACTTGTCTGTACCGTCTCTTGTTCCCTGTTCATCAGACTGACCAGGTGCTTCTCATGTTCACGTGCTTTAGACGGTTCCCCGTTGCCCGGCAATTTCACACTTTTGGTTTAGCAGAGTCCCTGTTTACAAAGTGTTTAGGTTTTAGGGACTGCAGATGAGCATATTTAAAATGATAAACATCTCTTAATTGCCAATGAAGCTCTCTATTTAGTTAGGATTAGAATCCCTAAAGAATTATCCATGGTCATGAATTTTGTACGACTATAATAGGTATAATACAAAAACCTGAATGTTAAGAGCAGGCTTTTCTATACCAATAAACTATTTAAATTTATCTTTGCCAATGCGTATGATTATGTTTATAGAAATTTATTGCTAATCCCGTTCCTTATGATAGATCTAATGGATTGTAAACTCTGTGACAAAGTCTGCCATTTTCATCTGGATGTACCTTCAGAACCTAGATTAGGACCTGGCACACAGTGAGCATTCAAGAAATATTTGCAGAATAAATGAACTCTGATATGTATATGTATAATATGGGTCCATTTGGTCCTGCTTTATCTGCCATTTAATTCAATTAAAAAAACACCTGATTTTCATACAAATCAACCTTGTGTGAGAAACTCTGTGGACCATTGAACGGATTTAAAAAAAAAAAGATTAAGATACAATCCTTGCGTTGATGAAGATGACCTAGTTGGGGAAAAATAGACATACAAGCAACCTCAAGTGAAGAAGAATGAGTGTATGATGAAGGGGCTCAGCGTCTTGTGGGAGACCTCGGAAGGGCCCTTTAGTTCAGGAGAGAGGCTATGGGAAGGTCTGTCTGTGAGGAGAGAAGTTAGAAACTAGGCGAACCAAAGACCTAAGGCGTCAGTAGGTGGAGCTACTGGCAGCCTGAGGAATGCTCCTCCCAGTTTGAGGGCATGTTTCCCTGGTCTGCACAGACTTCCTTTCATTACTTCTTCCTTCCTTATTCAGTCTCATTCCCAGTAACCAAAAATCATACTTTGTGCAGTTTAATTTACATTAGAAAATTCCGTTTCTAGTACTCAACAATTTACAAATTTCCTAAGGATTATTGTTAGTCACTGCACATGACTGTATTTTATACTGTTCAATAATTAGTGTTTTTATGTCAGAATAGAAAATTTTGGTTTATTTTAAGTTTAAGAATATCATACAGGGCCGGAGCGACAGTACAGCATGTAGGACTTTTGTCTTGCACGCGGCCGACCTTGGTTCAATCCCCGAAATCCCATATGGTCCCCAAGACACCGCCAGGAGTAATTCCTGAGTGCAAAGCCAGGAGTAACCCCTAAGCATCTCTGGGTATGAGTTAAAAAGCAAAAAAATAAATAAAAAAGAAGAAAAAAAGAATGTCATATCAACTTGAATTTCCTCTGGCCCCATTCTGTAATTGTACAAAGAAAATTCTTAATATTAACTGACAATGTGATTTTTTTTTTAATATCATGAATTCACTCGCAGATCTCAATCTGTGTACCTTACCCTTTTTCAGAGAGACTTTTGAGCCAGACTTGTCAGGGTTCAGCCTGTCTGGGATCTGCTCTTTTGATTCAAATCCCATGACATGGACTATATCCCCAATGTGGGAAGCTTCCCAGAAATGCCAGGTCAACACACACTTGTTACATTACAGCATGAAAATTAGGTCATTTGTATTCTTTGTACCGTGATAATCAAGAGTCAGAGCTTTCCTTTCAAAGCATATTACCTAGGGAAATAAGAACTCACTCCAAATAAAGGATCCTCTGGAGATTGCAGAGAAATATTATTAAATATACACAAGATCAGGGTTTGGCAAGAATTGTAACTGAGGCAAAAAAGAACCACGCATCAGGCTGGTACAGCTAGGAGGGTGCTTGCTTTGCATGTGGCCAACCCGAGTCTCTTTCCCAGAACCCGGTATTCAGTCCCTGAATCCTTCGAGAATGATTCCTGAGTGCAGAGCCATGAGTAAGCCTGTGCACGGCCTGGTGTGACCCCCCAACCAAACAAATAAAAACCATGGCCAGTCCAGCCATCTGTGCCTGGTTCAGGTCCACTCTCCAAACAAGTGTGAATTTCTGGGGAGATCGTGTCAAGATTTGACACAGAAAGATGTTTCAAATCCCTTTCCATTGATTTTTGATTTTCAAAACTAAGATTATTCAGGTATTGGGCTTGCACTCGGTGTAGTGGAGTGATCCTGAGCACAGAGCAGTAGTACACCCAGAACATCACCCAGTAGGACCCCCAAAACAAAACTAAAATAATAGTGGGAATATCAACTTGAATTGATGGACGACATCAGACTAGATAATTCACTGGTAGTGAACTTGGATCCTGAATTTAAAGCCTTTTTTTTTTTAAGTATTGTTACAATGAAATACTTGGCAAAGTGGGGTTATATTTAACAAATTTGGTATCTCTAGTAAGTGCATAACGTCTACATTTAAAAAGAGTAAAAGAGGAGCTGGTTCAGCAGTACAGCAAGTATCTGTCCCTACCACCACAGATGGTCCCCTGAGCACCGCCAGGAGTAATGCCTGAGCATAGAGCCAGGAATTAAGACCTTGATTACCGACGGGTGTGGCCCAAAAAACCCCAATAAATAAATGAATAAAAGGGTCAAGGATCTGCAATGTTTTATTTTTTCAGTTCTGAAATTTGAGATGGAATCTACAATGAGACACACAGATCAATCTTAGTCTAAATGAGTTTTGACAAACGCGACCTTTTCTTGGAGGGTGGGGCGGGTGAGACACACCTTGCTATGCTCAGGACTTACTCCTAGCTTTGTGCTCAGGGTTTACACCTAGCAGGGCTCAGGGATTACTCCTGCCGGCCTGGAGGCGGGGAGGGGGTCGTGGCGCACACATGTGGGGTTGTCGAGATCCAATCCAGGTCTGCCGCGTGCAAGTCAAACGCCCCACCCTTTTGGCCCCGAAATCATTCACCCTTAACCGGGCAAACATTTTCCAAAAGTTTCCCTACCACCTTTTCCCAATAATTTGTTCCTCTTCGGATATCTATTCGACAAAACACTAGTTTTTGTCTGTTCAGTGACATCTTCTGCATGAGAAAAGCACTGGCAAAAAAAACGATTGCCCGTGGGGCTGGAGCAATAGCACAGCGGGTAGGGCGTTTGCCTTGCACGCGGCCAACCGGGATTCGAGTCCCAGCATCCCATAGGGTCCCCTGAGCGCCGCCAGGAGTGATTCCTGAGTGCAGAGCTAGGAGTAACTCCTGAGCATCGCTGGGTGTGACCCAAAAAGCCAAAAAAAAAAAAAAAAAAAAAAAAAAAGGATTGCCCGTTACATAGTAGTCGAAAGCCGAGCGAGGCTGTTCAATCCGGTGGCACTCTGGTCTCTTCTTTTTTTAAAGTTGGCACTAGCGGGTTCGATTAAAAAAAAAAGTTTTTAATTCTGTTAAATAATCAGGCCCCCGAGAAAGCAAACTAACTTGCACTTTTGCCCGAACTCTTGCAAGTCTTCAGGGCCTTGGGGAAGCCCAGCCCACCGCTGGCCTCGGGCGACGCCCTGGGGATGCAGGCGCCCGGGGAGCAGGGCGGGCAGGCGTTGGGAGCGGCGAGGGCGCCGGCGGGCCCTGAGCCGGGAAGTTCCCCGCGGCCCCTCCGCCGTGCGCGCCGGGCCCCCCGCTCCGCTCCCCGCCGCCCCTTTCCTGCCGCTTTTCCTGCCCGGCTCGGCCGGGGAAGGACGCGCGGCCGGGGCGGGTGGGAGCGGGCGGGCTCCGCCCCTCCGGGCGCCGTCGGGGCGGGCTGGGGTGGGGCTGCCGGGCGCTGCGCTGCCGGCCGGGCAGTCCCGGGCCGCGGGATGCTGTGCGCGCTGCTCCCGGCCCGAGGCTTTGCGAGCCGCCTCGCCCGCCCCGGCCGCCGGTCCGAGAGGTAAGAGGGGCCCGCCCAGCCCCCCGGGGCGCCCTCCGCGGCCCCCCGCGCCCTCCCCGCGCCGCGTGGTGCGCAGCCCCCGGGGTACGCGCTCCAGCTAGTGTCCAGCCTGCAGACTTCTTTCCCCGGCCGCAGGTGTAGGTGGACGCGGAGTTGAATCCCAATAACGGGAACGCTCCGGGGGGCGGGGGAAGAGGGTCTTGAATTACTGAGCCTTCAGAGCCCGTTTGCTTCTTCCCACCCTCCCCAAAGAAATAAATTCATTCCGAGCTAGAGAATGGGCATTTCCCAACGGTCCTCGTTTTAAGAGGACGCTGGGCTCCCGGCGAGGGCAGGACGACTCGATTTCCAGGAATGACCTTGATTGGGGTTGATGTCGCGGCTCTGGGAAGCCGAGTGCGTGCGGGGCGCGGGCGGTGTGCGGGGTCCCCAGGGCAGCTAGACGTGAGCGGCGCGGGGCCAGGGCACATCTGTCCAGTTGAGGACAGAAATCAGAAGCCGTTTGCAAGCCCGGGTTCCAAACCTTAGCAGCCTCGGAACTGGGGTTTCCTTATTGTTGGCATACACACAACAAGAGCAGGTGGACCGCCAAGGACAGCATCACATTGCCTGGGTTTTCTTCCCCTTTTATTCTTTGATAATCATTTCCCCCCTGGACTTCATAATCCGTTTTCTTCTGCGAACTTCTCTGGATTTCAGGTTGGTGTGATGGTGTTGAACGTGGAGAAGCATTCACACCTTTACTGCTAGCTGCCACATAGAGAATTTGTCTGTGAATGTTTATGCATGTAAATGTGGTTTTAAATCCACATAAAATATACCTATTTTTATTTCAATGAATTTCAAGCCTTTAGTAGACTTTTCTAAGTAGACTGTTGCAGTTCTGGGAACAATATGTTGGGAAGAAAATCAAGCAAGCAACGAGGTGGCTTGAAGAAATTTTTTTTAAAAGAAATTAAAGAAACAAGCTATTGTCTTTAAAAAATAAAGCTAGTATTTATAATCCAGCACTCCTGTCCATCAGTCCATCCTGGATGTTGTGTTAACTTCCTCAAATAAGTGGTTGAGCCGGTAAAAATCCAGCATGTTCAAAAGCTTGAGGCTATTTTTTAAAATCCTATTATGATTTTTCAAGAAGCCTGGTTTATTTTCTAATTCTATTTCCATTTAACTCTAAGCATAGATTAACACCGTATTCTGTGTTTCATGAATCCTTTTCATAAAGAGGAAATTATGTGATAATCATAAAATTGTGATTAGTGTTTTTTCTGTTTTAGGGTTTTTTGGTTTTGTTGGGTTTTTTTGGTTTTGGCTTCTTTTGTGGGGGAGAGGACCATGTGGGATGTCGAACCCGGGTTAGCCATGTGCAAGGCAACCGCCCTCCCCACTGTACTCCAGCCCATTGTTTGTTTTTTTGTTTTTTTTAAGGTAAGAGGGAAGCCAGCAATTGGGGGCAAGTCAGCTCAGCTTTGGGAGCTGGGCCTGTCTTCTCAACTGGGTAGGAGAGTCAGTGACCCAGGGAAGGGATTTCATTGCCTCCCAGCCTTCACTTCCTCAGAGATAAGAGGAGGGTCACCTGCTGTCTTTGGCCAGGTTCCCAGCTCAGGTTCCAGGACAGGTCCAATCTGTGCCAAATCCCAGCCAAGTGGAATTTTCTTTCCTTTTTTGTTATGGGCAGTGGGAGGGAGCCATGGTTCATCTGCATAACTGCACTTCAAATCTTGGATTCTTCTGGAGAAATGTGGTATTTCTTCCACCAACTCCTATTGAAAGAAAACACCAGTTTCTTTTCCCCTGAATATTTTTTCCGTTACTTCCATCAATCCTTTTAAATTATGTTAATGTCTGATTCATCCAAAAATATATGTCATACTGAACATGGTCACTAAAGTATATGGACAAAAAGGGAAATTAGAATATTAAGAAAATGTGTATCTTGGTGTGGCTCGGTGGCCATGCACTTGTCCTGCATGTGTGAGGTCCTGGGGTGGGTGGGGGTTCCATCCCGGGCCCCAGGTGGTCCCCCTGATTACTTTAAATGCTCTGCATCTTATTCTCTGGCCTGGCAGTTGTGTTTGTATCAAAGTCTGTGCCCTCGCCCATGCATCCTGTCAAGCCATGGGCCAGCTTGAATTTTTCCACCCTCCCAGCTGGTCTGTGAAGATTGCTGCATGAAATCATCACTCTCTCTCCACGAGTACCCGCAGCAACAAGTATAGGAGGATGGACACAAGAGCAAATTGTTAATTATCTCTCTTCCCAGTGCCCTCAGCAAGGGAAATCGGAGCTGTCTGGAGTTCCTGTTTCATTGTAATGCTCTGCCTATCTTTTTTTTTTTTAATTTTAAAGGTTTGATAATTTTTCTAAGCTCATGAATGTTAAAAATGAGGCTTGGGCCTGTGAGATAGCAGAGGTTAAGGCACTTGCCCTGCAGTGGCCATGACAGTGATTGTATCTCAGCACCACATATGGTCCCCTAAGCGCCTTGCTAAGTATGACCCCTGGCCATAGAGCAGGATGTGATCTCTGAGCATGGCCAGGTATGCTTCTTCCCCATCAAAAAAAAAAAAAAAGAAGAAGAAGAAAAGAAAAGAAAAATGAAGCCATCTAGATAAGGCAGATTGTGTGAGAGAAAAGAGAAAAATGTGTTATCTGTACAAGATATGTTAATTATGCAAGAAAGATAGTGTTAATAAGCCTACTTGTGGGAACAAGGCAGGTTTGAGTAATGTGGAATGAAAGTTGGGCCCAAAAAAAACAAAAAAAAACAAACAAGGGGAGATAGCACAGCAGGTAGGGCATTTGCCTTGCACGCGGTCGACCCGGGTTCGATTCCCAGCATCCCATATGTCCCCTGAGCACCGCCACGAGCACCGCCACGAGTAATTCCTGAGTGCAGAGCCAGGAGTAACCCCTGTGCAACACCGGGTGTGACCTAAAAAGCAAAAAAAAAAAAAACAAAACAAAAAAGCCCCCAAGAAATCAGTATGAAATGCCAAGCAGATATGTGAAAATATATTATGCAGATTGGCTATTCGCTTTGATGAAATTAGGCACATTTTAAACGATGTGCCATAAGACATAAGACGAGAGACTTGATGTTCTACAGATGATGATGAGACTTGATGATCTTGGTGTGAATCTTGGTGCAGGCACCCTTGATTGGTCCTAACAGGGGAGCTCTAAGGGAGCCTTGTAGCGAAGATCATTTCCCAGAGAACATCAGCGTCCTGTTTTCAATGCCACCAGGAAGGTGTAAATTCTTAGACTGCTTTGACATTTCATGTTTACTATTTTATTAATCTTACTGAACAGAAGTATGTGTTTTTTTTTTTAGGTTTTTTATTTCAGGTGCTTTGGGGCAAATCTTTTCACAAATTGGATGTGAGAAAGGACATGAGGAGACCAAAGACCTGGGATTTTGCTGATCAGAATGAAACAAATGTTGAAAGACTTTTCAAATCTATTGTTGATGGTTCTCTGTGACTGTGGTGAGTATGGGGAAGGTGCTAAGTGCTGTGTTGGTATTGAGGAAGCATGTGTGAGGCTTCATAAAGCTCTGGGGGTTTGACACCCTGTCTGAGGGAGAGAAGATACCACAGTGCAGTGCATTTTGTTTTCAAGACTGGGGAATCGAACCTGACACAGGCCAGGAGACCACTCTACCACTGAGCCACATGCTCAGCCTAGCAAAGTACATTTTAAATCATGGTCTGTACAACTGGATTCTCTTCAGTTTTTTTTTTTTTCTTGAGGGTGGGAGACATACCTGTTGGTGCTCAGGGATTATTCCTGGCAGTGATTAACAGAACCTTATGAGATGCTGGGGACTGAACCCGTGCAAGGCAAACACCCAACCTGCTGTACTATTATTCCATCCAGCCCCATCTTCAGATTCTGCATTATTGATTCAGATTTCACTTTACAGATATTTTAAGTCCTTAAAAATATTTTTAAAACTGCTGACTTTGATTTTAACAACTTGCAGGCAAGCACATTACCTTGAGTTCTCTTTTATTTCCTGGTAAATCATTATTCAACATTTAAACACAATTTGAGGGAGAATCCAAGCTGTGACTAATTTCTTTTTAATTCATCTATTCCTACTCAAAAACATATTGATTAACATATTTTTCAAGAAATTATAAAACATATTCATTCCCAAAAAATTGTATGTGTCCTTAGTTTCATAACGGTTAATATGGACATCAGAATATTCCATTTAAACAAAGCCTACAAAGTTGTATATTGTTGAAAACAAAATACCTTATTGGAATGTATGGATAAAAGTTAAGTGAACATAAATTAGGACACAGCATAGAAGTTTAGTGCACAGCTACTAATGGAGAAAACTATAGTAACCAGGAAATACTATCCCCTAGTAAAATTTGTAGGGGATGGTATTTTTTTCTGTTTGTTTCTTCAGTTTGGGGGCCATACCTGGCAATGCTCAGGGGTTACTCTTGGCTCTGCATCCAGGAATCATTCCTAGAGATTCTCAGGGAGCTCCATCCTGGTCCCCCAGCTCTGCATTTTTTTAAATTTAGATGGGGAATGGCAGAAGTCCTAAACCAGTTAAAAGCAAATTACTGGGGTTTTGTTTGTTTGTTTGTTTGTTTTTTGCTTTTTGGGTTGCACCCAGCAATGCTCAGGGGTTACTCCTGGCTCTGTGCTCATGAATTACTCCTGGTGGTGCTCAGGGGACCATATGGGATGCTGGGGGTTGAATCCAGGTTGGTTGTGTGCAAGGCAAATGCTCTCCCTGCTGTACTATCACTCCGGCCCAACACAATACCTTTACGCACCATTATCTTCTTATGCTGGTTCTAATAATCATCAATTGATTATACATTAGGATATATTTAAAAACTTCCAGCCCAAATTTTGCATAGACTGTGAGCACATACTTTGAGCTACGTGCTATGAGATCAGTAAAGCTATGCTTACCACACATGTTGTTTTTAAAACTCAAAGGGCCCTGCAGTCCCTAAATCTAGAATTCTCTTATATGAGCCAGCCATGGGCCTGTTGATGGTTGCTTTGCCCAGCTCCATCTCCTTTTAAGTATATTTGGATAAAGTTCAAAATAGGAACAAGGGTTCCTGTGTGTCTGTTCTTTCCAGTCTTCAGCTGCTCTGCTGGGTCTTTTTGAAAAGAAGAGATGATTGATCCTAGTGGAATGGTACGTGTGGCTGTCTGTCCTCTCTAGGTCAATTACTGTGGCCTTGGGGGACTGTTTCTGAGTCCCCAAAGCAGTCACTGTGACGTCACAAAGGCTTGCTCCACACCTTAGATGACCCATGTAAAATAAAATACAGCATACTTGACTCATCTCAAAATGTCTGCCTCCTATTGACCAAGGGCACTAGTTTCATTACTGGTGAGAAGTGCTAGACTTAGCGGCTAGAGCAGAACAATAGTACAGTGGATAGGGTGTCTGCCTTGCATGCGACCAACCTGGATTCAATCCCCAGCATCCCATATGATCCCCAGAGCACCGCCAGGAGTGATCCCTGAGTGCAAAGCTAGGAGTAACCGCTGAGCACCGCTGCACGTGGCCCCAAAACAAAAGTGCTAGACTTGGCTATTGGAGAAGAGGCATATTGAATTATATTTAGGATCGTCCATTATAAGCTCTCCAGACTAGAGCAAGTGTTTTTTTAAACTTTTTTCCACCTGTCCACGCCTTTGCACCTGAGAAATACAATGCAGGCAAGTGCTGGCAGAAACACTTGGGATTCATTATGTATTTGAGTTTGAATTCCTTTTTGGCGCTTGTGTATTCAGGCACCTTGTACCATTGCCAGCCTTCCCACACCGTGCTCAATTCCATGATCTTCTAGGGCCCACACCCACAACTTAAGACGCTTGGCTCTAGAGTATCTTATATGGTATCACTCAGATCAGATTTATCAGGGTAGATTTATTTTCCCTCAATACCTAAACTCCAGTATCTGACTGACACTGGGAACTGGGTTTGTCTCTCAAGAATTGTCCATTCCTTTTGCTGTTACATTCTTTTGATGAGTGTTATATTTGTCACCATATTTGAAATCAGTGCAAGCGTTATTTAAAATCACCATGTTACTTGAAGGCCAGCCACACATGCTAGGGGAAAAGGGAGCTCAGATAGAGAAGGGAGCACCAAGTAAAGGGTGTTGGGAGGATCCTCCCAGGATGGGAGAGGCATGCTGAAAGTAGACTATAGACCAAACATGATTGCCACTCAATGCCTCTTTTGCAAACCACAGCACCCAAAGGAGAGAGAGAACAAAAGGGAATGCCCTACCACAGAGGCAGGGTGAGATGGGGGGGATGGGAGGTGGGAGGGATATTTCCCGTGATGGTGGGAAATGGGCACTGGTGGAGGGATGGGTATTTGATCATTGTATAATCGAAACCCAAGCACAAAAATTTGTAAGTCTACAACTGTACCTCTTGGTGTTTCACTAATAAAAATTAAAAAAAAGAAAGTCACCATGTTAGATGAAGAGGGAAGAGCAGAGCCTGTTTAGCAAAGACATAGCCCGGACGAATCCCTTGTCTCTGGAGAACCGGAGACAGAAGCCTGTGCTGTGTGTGAGAGGCCGTTTCTGTGGCTGTGTTGTGTGAGTCGGGGGTCAGACCTGGCCTCCGTGTAACCAGCTCTGCCATTGCATTGCAGTGCTCGGGGAAGCTGACTACCTCTTCTTGGTGAAGCCGGACCATGTAGCGCTGAGCAACAGCAGCGTGTCTGTGGATTTCCAATCCCTGGACGGTGCCAACGGAACCTTACGGAATGTGTCTGTCCTGTTACTGGAGGCCAACACCAACCAGACGGTGGCCACCAGATACCTGGAGACCAACGCCTCCCAGGGCAGGCTGGAGTTTGAATGCTTCCTCTTCCAGGAGGCTGGCGACTACTGGTTCGTGATGTCCCCGGACGGTGGGGACAACAGCACAGCCGAGCCCTGGTGGGAGAGCGGCGCCGCCCTCAGGGTGGAGTGGCCTGTCTTCCACGTGGACTTGAACCGGACGTCACAGGCCGCCGAAGGCACCTTCCAGGTGGGCCTGGCCACCAGTCAGCCACTGTGCGCCTTCCCCGGCGGCCAGCCCGAGATCCTGGTGGACGTGGTCTTCACCAACAGCCTCCCTGAGGCCAGAGTGGGCCGGGGGCCGCCCCTGGAGATCCGGAGCCGCCAGCGCACAGAGCTGTGTCCGATGCAGTGGCTGGAGTTCGGCTGTGCGCCCGTGGGCCCGGAGGCCTATGTCACTGTGATTTTGAAGCTGCTTGGCCGAGACTCCGTCATCACCGCCGTGGGGCCCATCGACCTGGCGCGGAAGTTTGGATACAAACTAGTGATGGTGCCTGAACTCATGTGTGAGGCCGAGGTGGAGGTGACGGTCCTGCCCCCGCCCTGCACCTTTGTCCAGGGAGTGGTCAGCGTGTCCCTGGAAGCCCCTGGACGCCCCGGGGAAAGGACCCCTCGGCTGGCCACAAACAGCCTGGCCCTGGGGGAGAGGAGAACAGCTTTCAACTGCACTCTGTTCGACATGGGGAGGAATAAATACTGCTTTGAGTTTGGCGTCTCAGGCGGAAACCATTTTTCCACTAAGGAGAAGGAATGCATGCTCATTCAGAGAAATATAGGTGGGTCCCAGGTCTTGGGGTTCCTCTGTGCAAGCAAGAGTCTTGTGTCAAGTTTAGGGGAACATGATTTTCTTGGCACTGGGCCTTTGCGGGGAGGGGAATTTGGGGGCGGGGGTTGGGTCACATCCAGCATTGCTCGGGGTTACTCCTGGCTCTGTGCTTAGGAATTACTCCTGGTGGTACTCAGAGGATCATGTGGGATGCCAGGGTTTGAACCTGGGTTGGCTGTATGCAAGGTGAATGCCCTACCCACTCTACTATTGCTTGGACCCATTTTTTTTTCCCGTTATCTTTTGGTGCGGTGGAGGGGTTCAGGTCATGCCTCTTGGTTCTCAGGGTTACTCCTGATTCTGTAATCGGGAATTCTTCCTGGAGGTGGTCAGGGCACTACATGGGATGTCAGGGATCGAACCTGGGTCAGCCGCATGCAAGGCAAATACCCTACCCACTGTACTATTGCTTGGACCCTTTTATTATTATTATTATTATTATTATAGAGGCCACACGGGTGAAAGGGGAGCTCGGGAACCCCAAGTGAGGCATCCTGTGTTCTGTCTCTGGAGCCACTTCTCAGATCCAGTGCCGTCATTTCTCCAGTTCATTTATTCATTCATTCATTCATTGCACTGAATAGTATCGTCTCAACTGAAAAAAATATTAGGGGTGGGCTTGGGTCATGTCCAGTGGTGCTCGGGGATCCAGTCGGTTTGGCGTCTGTAAGTTGAGCTCCCTCACTCCCATTCCTGACTTTCCAGCCCCTTGAAAATGCAGGAGCCCTGGGGATCCAACCTGCCTTTCTGCTTGCTCACCCTCTGTGTGTCTTGGTTCTTTCCCAGTGCAGCGCAGGTAACCAGACGATCTACCTCAGAATTGGGAGAGTTGAGTGGAATCATGGCAAACAGGTGTGTTAGTATCATGCCATGCAGACAGCACTAGGGAGCAGCCATACACACTAGCTACTGTGACGTCCCAGTTGACATGGTATGTTAAGGCCAGGGCAGGTGTGGCTGAATCCCAAGCTGTGCTTGGTCACTTCTGCCTCTCTCCGGCCGAGTGGGTCTCCTCCATAGCCCCATTCGTTGGAGGAATGAAGCTGCTTTAGTGAGATTTCCAGAAACCTCACACTCCAAAGGTCTTTGGCTTATGCGCTGCTTAAATCCCAAACACCTGGGGCCTCCATCACCACTGAGCCCTCCTCCTCCTCTCCGCGTGGATTTCCCTTTTCCTGGGTACAGATCTGGCCGTGGCAAGCGCTTTGCTTGGTGACTTTATAACCCATTCTCATCTGTGTTCATTGCTTCCGCCGTGAGTGCTGGACCTCGTGGCAGCCGCGCTGCTGACCTTTATAACCCGGGTGGGCCTGGCTCCAGCCTCACCCCCTCCTCCCCTCTGTCAGGCCCTTTCATTCACTCTCCTCCCACTGGGCAGTTCCCTGCAGTGACCTCTCTGTCCAGCCTAGATTCCGTGGCCCCTGCTTGAGCCCCTCCCCCTCCCATGCCCTGAGACAGTTGTTCTTGCAGTGTACCTGCTGGGCACCCTGGACCCTGGGGCATAGCCAGCTGCCCCCTGCACTCGCATTGCAGAAGAAGGTCACGGTCAGGTGGACCAGGGGCCATTCTACAGCGGGGTGGGGGTGGCGATGCCTCCGTCCTCCGTGAGGTGCATCGTGGCTGGCTCCCTCCATGACAGTACCTCTCTCGGACCTCCCCATGCTGCGCTCTGGTAATGCTGACTCCTCCTCCCTTGCCTCCAACCTCACAGCCACTGAAGTCCCCAAGCTCACTCACGTCCACCGAATTCCTCAGCCTGCAGGCAGGGTTCCCCACCTTCTTCTTGGCTGTCAGGGTGAAGTGTCTTTCCTTCAGTCCAAGGTCACTGTCCCCACCACCTGGTCCCCCTGCTGGCTTCTGTTCCCCATTGTTTGCACTCTCTGATCTGTTCTTGACTGATCCGTTCCCATCAGCTATGAATGCCCTTCATTCTTTTCTTAAAAAAAAAATAATAATAAGAGCTACCCCAAGGCTCTTCCTCAGCTAACACCCTCTCCTCCTTTCCTTCCTTTTATAGTCTGGCTCTTGCTAAGCCAGCTACATTTAGGGATTGATTTCCTCACCTCACAGTCACTTCCCAACACCCTGACATGCTCTCACTTAGAGCAACCCACGAATGACTTCCAAGTCCCCAAATCCAGGAACTCGCCCCAGCGGTGCCTTCTCTGGCCTTGGTTCGGAGCCACCACGCTCTCCTTGTATACCTTCCCCCCTGCCAACTGTGGCTTCATAACACTCTGCCATCTCCCCTTGTTCCTCAAAGCCTTGACACACATCCCCAGACCCCACTTCTCTCCCCCCACACCCCAGTGCTGCTGCATGGCTCAGGCTTCTCTCATGTCTCCTTAGCACCTCCAAAGCGACGTTTGGTTTGAATTTGGTCTCATTTCCCCCCTTAAACCTACAGGCTCCCTGTCACTCACACTCCATGCCCTCCTCTACCAATAACAAGTTATCAGGTTTTCTGGATTTTGTCTCCTACCCGTTCTAATCTCTCCACATCACCCCAGTTCCACAGCATCGTTTTGGTTCAACCTTCCCTCATTCCCTAGACTCTGACAACAGGTCTCTATGGGCTGGAGTGAGTGATAGTTACAGGGTTAAGGCATTTGCTATGCATGCACTTGACTCCTGTTCCACGTCCCCAGTACCACACATGGTCCCCTGAGCACCATCAGGAGTGATGCCTGAGCACAGAAGCAGGATTAAGCCCTGAGAACCATAGAGTGTACCCCAAAACCAGAGAGAGAGAGAGAGAGAGAGAGAGAACAGAATTGCTTCTCCTCCACCTGTCCCCATCCACCATCCGCTTTCCCTCTCTCTGCCCCCCCAGAGAGATTGTTCCAAACTCAGGTGAGCCATGGTGATTGCAAGCTTCCAGCCTGTCAGCCTTCTTGGCTGGCATGAGGCTAGGACTCCATTGGGAATCCGGGGCCAGATGTGCACATCCCCTGGATGCCTCTCCCACCTTCACTAGTCAGCATTCACTTCCCCCCCAAATCTCCACTCAGCTGTCCTCAACCTCATACAGTAGTGTCCCCTGTAGGGGAATGGTCACCGTACCCCTGCTTCCTTCTTCCATGTTGTTACCCGGTCGGGGGGCAGTTTCCTCCTCAGCACCATCCTCCCTTAGGTGGGGAAAACTCATTTGGTGACACTTATGGGAAAGCCCCCCCCAGAATTAACGTTCAGAGGATCTGAGAACGCCTCTTGGTTCTACTTGACCAGCCAGGTCAGTTATACTAATGTGGCCCTGTCAGGCCAGGGTTTCTGGGCTACGCCTGGTGGAGGGGGTGGAGGTGTGTGTGGCTGTGTGGTTCTGGCCATCAGATCAGGGCTGGTGCAGACAGAGCACATGCACCAACTCCCCTCACTCTCTCCCTGTTGCAATGCTGAAGGCTGCACACACGTGGCTGTGATGCTTGCTGGGGGTGACACACTCCAGCTGCTGTGGTTGTACATTTATTTGCTGGGGGTTGAGCCCATTTTTCATGCTGGGACTTTCACCAGGAAGTGCTGACTTGGCCCCACTGCTCACGCCTGTAGCTGCTGTGAGGGGGAGGGGTGACTCACTTTAGTGGTGCTCGAAGACCCAGATTGCAAAGCTGTCCTTGGCACTGCTCTGGACTCCTGTGGGCAGTGCAGGATGAGATGCGCAGCCTCCCTCCTGCAAGGGGAAGCCTGGATAACTGAGCAGCACTGACCCCTGTTGTTTCATGTTTGTTTCACTCCCGCCTCCATCCTTCCCTTCCTCATTGCTAATCCATTGCTAATAGTGTTGTTGGGGTAACTGGAGATTGCATGCACATGGCTGGGGTGCTCGTACACCTCTGGCAGCCATACTCTTTTTTTTTTTTAATTAATTTTTATTAGTGAAACACCATGAGGTACAGTTGTAGACTTGGGTTTCGATTATACAATGATCAAACACCCATCCCTCCACCAGTGCCCATTCTCCACCACCATGGGTCCCACTATCCCTCCCACCCCCCTGTCCCCCCTATCCCACCCTGCCTCTGTGGCAGGGCATTCCCTTTTGTTCTCTCTCTCCTTTTGGGTGTTGTGGTCTGCAAAAGAGGCATTGAGTGGCAATCATGTTTGGTCCTTAGTCTACTTTCAACAAACATCTCCCATCCTGGGAGGATCCTCCAAACACCCTTTATTTGGTGCTCCCTTCTCTATCTGAGCTGCCCTTTCCCCTAGAATGCCCCACTGATCTCTAAGCTATGGAGTAATCCTCCTGGTACTGACCTCGGCTATTCTTGGGTATTAATCTCCTATTTTGTTACTTTATATCCCCCAGATGAATGCAATCTTTTTATGTCTATCCCTCTCTTTCTGAGTAATTTTGCTTAGCATGATACTTTCAGTGTGGTACCACTTGTATGTAAATTTCATGACTTCATCTTTTCTAACAGCTACATAGCACTCTGTTGTGTAGATGTACCAAAGTTTCTTTAATCAGTCGTCTGTTCTTGGGCACTCAGGTTTTTTCCAGATTCTGGCTATTGTAAAGAGTGCTGCAATGAACAAACAAGTGCAGATGTCACTTCGACTATACATTTTTGCCTCTCTGGGATATATTCCCAGGAGTGGTATTGCTGGGTCAAATGGGAGCTCAATTTCTAATTTTTTGAGAATCGTCCATACTGTTTTCCAAAAGACAGCCATACTGTTAAGGTTGGTCTTGCACCAAGGTGTGGTACTTGCCCACTTGGCCATGGTGCTCAGCAAGGTTTGTGCTGTTTTTAAGCTTTTTGTTTTTGTTTTTGTTTTTTTTTTTCAATTTTATTTGTGGGGGCACACCCTTTTCCTGTGGGGCATACCACAGTTGCTGTGGTACAGGGAGAAATGGCCTGCAGGGCTGGGTATCACAGGGAATAGAGCTGCCAGGATCACACTTGGTGCTTGTGGAACTCTGGGGGCTTGAACACATAAACACAGACTTGC